CAATAGAAAAGAGCTGCTGGCCGAGAGACGAAGTGCTGAGACGTAGGCTGTGGGCTAGGAGACTCGAGCTCCTCCCAATTTGATTGTTTTGGTATGTACATGTGGTAGGCTTATATACCGCCCTAGCAGGCCACCACCGAGAGTTTGCCTGCTTGGGTGATTAAACTAGGTATGGTAAAAGAAAGACTGAAACGAGTAAGATATTAGCTGAAACTTGCAACATAATTGTGTTCCTGTTTGAGATACCGGACCAGACCGTTAACATGTATCAAAACACGTTTCACCCATGCTGACTTGGCTGGGCAGTCTTCACGCATCTTTGCCATGATGGTGGTCCCTTGCCCCGGTCTTCTGGGTGCCTACTGCCTGATGCCGTTGCTACCGCTAAGTCCACCGAGCCTTCTTGCGTTCAGAAGTGTCGGTGTAGCTTCAGGATGGCTGAGCCTTCCCATGATGCTTCATTTCTGCTGCCTCGTGGTGAATGACTCCCACGGTGGCAATAGCATGGACCGGCTCATCGCCTTGCCGGCCTAACTTTGCCAAAATCGGGGTCATTCTCGTGCTTCTGTCGGTTAGCCGCTCTCGCCGTGCATCAACGTATCAAGAACTCGAGATCCACAGATGGATCGAGAGGCTCAGCCTCACGCAACGCCTCCCAAGTGGCGTAAACGATGCCCATGATGGCGTCCTTCAGGTCTGTCGCCTAGGTGTTGAGGAAAGTGGTTAGCAAAGCCAAACAGTGTGGAAGCCCAATGTACCTTGCGTGGAGAAGTAACTGGGGTTGCAGGACACAGAGAGGATGACGGGGTAGCGGGATCGCTCATCGAATAGCTGAGAGATTGTGGTAGAAGGAGAGGAGAGTTAGGCGCCATAGAAAAAAAAATTTGAACTGGCCAAGTGCGGACGGGTGAACGCGTCATTAAAAACTCACGGTATCGTCCTCTACCACGTGGTAGAGCCAGTCAGATTTCTTAGGAAGCCAGTTCGAGTGACTCAGATGGAACTGCGGTGCGGGACTGAAACGCGAGCCAACTCCGATCGAAGCCACCTAAACTATTGAATTCACGGCACTGCACCAGAGACAAACGCAGTCGGACTATGGTACACGGAAAAGCGGAGTACATGACGGACAAATCGAGATGGGTCTAGACTACGCGGTTTTGCCATTCGCAGCCAGGAAGGTCTTCAAGAATTCGAGATGCTCGCTAATGCGAGTCACCTCCACGATCAGTCGCGCGTGCTCCTGTGTATATATTTCGACTAGCAGGGCACTAGGAACGGGCAGTCCACGGACCTCGCTAAGGATACGCTCGGTATCGGCCAGCAATTTGGTGTCTGTGATCGCAAAAATAACAAAGGTCACTATGGCAGCATTTGCGATCAAAGAAACAAAGGACGTACTGGAGGGCAATTGAACGAACGAGCACTTGAGGTGCGACACTCGGCAACAGACACAGGCCTGCCCACCATTCTCGGAGGGCATGATAATGCAGTTGCCGTCCATCAGGCATTTGGAGCACTAGGCCAGGAACGAACACGATCTGCACGTGCTTTGGGAGAGCATGGACAGTGGAATAGTATTCGTGCAGTGTATCTGACTCGGTTGATTTGGCAGTAACCACAGAGGACACCACACTCGCGATGGACGCAGAACGTGATAACACCTTTGAAGGGACTGCGACCACTTCCGCTTCGCGTTTGACCACCCCCTGTAGGATCTCCGCAATCACGACTGAGGCAGCTGAAGGTGGAGGAATGTGCTTTAGGTCATGCTCGGCCCACCAGTTCTCGATCGGACGAGTCCGACCAAGGTACGCCTGGTCGCGCCGATCAACGAAGAGGTCGCCTTCGATGTAGGCCACCAAAAAGCGGTTGCAAGCATAAATGCGACCCTCGGAAAGATTGTCAAAGTCACCGCGATCGGCGGATGTGACAATCTCTTGCATAATTTCTGAAAGCTCAGCAGGAGTGCGACGCAGGCCAACCGCCTCGTGAAACGGAGCGTAGCCGACAAATGTAGGAGGGACGAGCCCTTTAACCCAGTGGAAGTCAGGACTCGCGTTCAGCATTAGCCAGTCATATATGGAATTGGCCTCAAAAGAGAGCGATGTGGCACAGGTAGGATGATCGCGCACCAACCGGGACTAGAGGACCGCGAAATGAGCTACGGTATGATGGATCGCAATCCGGAGAGCTCACCTCATAAGCCGAAAATGCCGTGGCCCAAGTCTGCCAGATTACCTCAGGAGCGTCGGGAGCAGGCGACGTAGAGACAAGGTTATCTAGTCACTGTAACAAGAACACACAGGCGCCGTCAATCGGGTAGACTTCACGAGCGTGAGCGGCGAGGCTGAAGACACCGTCAACGTGGGACATAGTGGCGAAGGACGGAGGGACTGCAAGCTAAGTCGCGCTATCTAAAGTATGCAAGCCCGATGGACTGAGGACGGTCCACATCTCAGAATGGGGGAGGTGATATGCACTGAGATATTCTGCGATTGAAAAACGCCAGAAATTGCATCCGACTATCGCACAATCGGATAGCGAGTCGCCGCAATCCAGAATGACAAACACTGAAGCCGGAACAGTCCAGAGTGGGCAAAAGAAGGCCTTGCTGACTGTCTGGGAAAATGGAACTGCGTGAAGAGGTCAGAAGGAGAACATGAGGCACAGAAATAATGAGAAAGCCACGAAGAAGTGTAGCCGATTATGAGGCACAGCGCAAGAACGGAACGCGACCGGTTAGGCAACTAGGAGATGAACAAGTGCACTAAATGAATGGAAGGCAGGGTAGCAGGCCGACGAACCCTGGCAGGGCCAGACTTCCAGTTCCCCGACTGTAGGATACGGAGAGGGGGCAGGAGCGAGCTTTG